AACCATTCTGCCATTTTTGGATATTTCTACTATCATAAATTTAAAATAGATTGTGATGGACAATTTTGTGCTTCTCGTGTTCTTATTTATTTAGAAGGGATTCCTACAAACAAAATTATTGAATTAAAATATATGAACACAATGTTTTTGAATTACACTATCAAGAGTAACATGCTTAATATTTTAGCCATCCAGACTTCACCCTCTATACACTTTTAAATAAAAACAACATAATGCCATACACATTATTTTGTAACATGCTTTTTTAAACTTAATATTTTAAATCTTTGAGATATTTACAGTTACCTTAGCTTTTTAATGACTGCCCAGTAATCTACTTTGTGATATTATCACTTATTAAGGAAACCATTTTCTAACAAACATTTTGATTATTTCTACCTTTTTGCTACATAGAGAATACCATAAGGAACATTTTGGTAACACAGCTTTGCAAAACTGCCTAATATTTCCTTGTGAAAAAATTAATAAAAGTAAAATTAAGCCATGTGTGGTGGTTCATGCTTATAATCCCAGCATTTTGGGAGGCTGAGGCAGGAGGATTGCTTGAAGCCAGGAGTTTGAGACAAGCCTGGTAAACGTAGTGAAACCCCATTATGTACCATAAAAAATTTTTTTAAGTAAAATTGCTGAGTTAAAAAGTATTTTTTAAGGCTTTTGATACATACTTCAGACTGTCCTCCAGAAAAGTTATACTAAAATGACTCAATCAATGAATATCACTTTTGTTTAAAAGCATTGCCAATATGATGGGGGAAATTCAGAACTTATTTTAAAATTTACATTATAAAAAATATTTTTCATGTGTATATAGGCAATTTACATTCATGCGTGTCTGTAAAAATTTCTCTTCATATTTGTTCATTTTTTTTAAATCAGAGCTGATCATAATCCTGAAACACACAATCTCAGATGCCATGATCCAGAATGTCAAAATTCCAAAACATTAAAATCCTGAAAGATAAAAAAAAATCCCTAAAGTCTAAAATCCCCAAATCACAATCTTGAACAATTAAAATCTTGAATGTTGAAATCCTGAAAGCTGAATTCTGGGGCAGGGATTTCCAGTGTGTTTTCAGTTGATGCAGACTAGGTGCATCATGGTAGGTGCATCACATTAGGTGGAACTATTACTGTCTTTATTTGGAAATTAAGTACAGTTTAAAGGAGATGCATTATGGGTGCCAAACTGACAAGGGGTGGATTTATGGTCTTACTTTCAGTTGTTGACTTGACTGGATTAAGGAATACATAGAAATTTAGTAAATTATTATTTTGGGAGTGTCCGTGAGGGTGTTTCCAGAGATTAGTGTGCGAGTCCAAATGGACTAGGTAGGAAAGATCTGCCTTCTGTGTTGGCAGGCACCATCTGATCAGAGAGAAGAAATACAGAAGGCAAGCCGGTCTCTGAGAGCTTGGAACTATTTTTCTCTTGCTGCCGTGGACATCAGAACTTCAGCCTTTAAATGCCAGGACTTATACCAGACCACCCCTACTCCATACACTCCCATTCCCTGGGGTTCTGAGGCTTTTGGCCTTGCATTGAAAGTTAAACATTGGTTTCCCTGGTTCTGAGGCCTTTGCACTTGGACTGAGCCATGTTACCAGTATCTCAAGGTATCCAGCTCACAGGCCTGTTGTGGAACTTCTCAGTCACCATTAGCACAGGAGCCAGTTTTCCTAATAAATCCCTTCTCATATATATACACATGTCTTATTAGTTCTGTCTCTCTGGAGAAGCCTGACTAATAAATAATAAATATTTGGTACTGGGGAAGCCCCATATCATTCCTTCTCACTATATTCCTTAGAATACGATGGAAGAGATCTGTGAAATTGTTCCTTCCAAAAAGGCTGTGATTAAGTTAAGCATACAAGGCTACCTAGTGGTTTAAAAGCTAATTATTATTGGTGCTTTGAAAGCAGAAAATAATTGCAATGCTTAGCAATAACCAGGCTTTCAAGTGAACAACACACACTTATAAAATTTGTAGATCACAATCACTCTCCAAATACAAGTGCAGCAGGTGTTTCAAAGGTTATAGAAGTGAAAACGCAGGTGAAAAATGTAAAAAATCTCCCCTGACAAATTATTCAATCCTGTACAACTTCTGCCCCTTCACATATAGCACCAATTCACTATGCTATGCATTTCATCTTCACATTATTTTCATTACTGGAGGTATGAATTGGACGAAAACTTGGAGAGTTCTAATTCATTTTATGAATATTTTGCAAATTTGACTCCAAGAAAATACATTATCACAATGTTGACTGTGTGTACGTGAAAACATTGAGGATGGGCTTGGTGGCTGATGCCTGTAATCTCAACACTTTGGGATCACCTGAAGTGGGTGGATCACCTGAGGTCAGGAGCTCAAGACCAGCCTGGCCAACATGGTGAAATCCCATCTCTACTAAAAATACAAAAAAATTAGCTGGGTGTGGTGGTGCGTGCCTGTAATCCCAGCTACTCAGGAGGCTGAGGCAGGAGAATTGCTTGAACTAGGAGGTGAAGGCTGCAGTGAGCCGAGATCACAGCACTGCTCTCCAGCCTGGGTAACAGAGGGAGACTCCCTCTCAAAAACAACAAAACAACAACAACAAAAACATTGAAACTTTCTTAATAAATGAAGAGGTGTCCTTTTTGTACATCTGCATTTGTGAAACAAAATTTCTTGAGATCTTTCCTCTTTGGGAAACTGCATATGTGGTGATGACTCATTGAGGTCTTTGATCAATCTTGTCAAGACATTTCAAATGACCATATTTATCAATCTAGGTGTACAGAATTACCAACTATGGGGGTATAGGTTTATATATTTCACTTTTTGACCTATTTCTTTTATGAATATGGCTTATCTGCTCATAACTGTTACTGTTATTTGTGTGATGTTAGTATATCTGAGTGTTATGCTTGTAAAAACACATGTTATTACTGCCTGTTTTAGCATGTAAAGTGGCCTATGAAATGTCATGCATTACAATTTTATTTTTAATTGACATATAATTGGACAATTTATAGTATAGTTATTTTTGTGTTTCCTAAATAAATCCCCGTACAAAATGTAAATAAATTTCTTTTTGGTTTTTGAGACAGCATCTCACTCTGTCACCCAGGCTGAAGTGCAGTGATGCTATCTTGGCTCACTGCAGCCTTGATGTCCTGGGGTCAGGTGATCCTTCCACCTCAGCCTCCCAAGTAGCTGGGATTACAGGCATGCACTACCATGCTCAGCTAATTTTTGTATTTTTTGTAGAGATAGGGTTTTGCTATGTGGCCCAAGGTGGTCTCCAACTCCTGGACTCAAGCAATCCTCCCGCTTCAGCTTCCCAAAGTGCTGGGATTTGGCCAGCCTCAGTGGCTTACACCTGTAATCCCAGCATTTTGGGAGGCTGAGGCAGTTGGATCATCTGAAGTCAGGAGTTTGAAACCAGCCTAACCAACATAGTGAAATCCTGTCTGTAATAAAAAATACAAAAAATTAGCCAGGCATGGAGGTGGATGCCTGTAATCCCAGATACTCAGGAGGCTGAGGCAAGAGTCACTTGAACCCAGGAGGTGGAGGAGTGAGCTGAGATTGTGCCATTGCACTCCAGCCTGGGCAACAAGAGCAACACTCTATCTCAAAATAATAACAACAACAACAACAACAACAAAGTGTTGGGACCACAGGCATGAGCCACTGCACCTGGCCAAATAAATGTCTTTTAGAGAATTTTTTAGAATTATTTTTTCCATAATTATATTTTCAGGATTTTGATCTTTTGGGATTGCGATTTTTGAGATTTTAGACCCTTGGGATTTTGATCTTTTGAGATTTCAACACTTGGGATTGCGCCTTTTGGGATTATGGTTCAAACCCTTTTTAAACTGGGAGGTTCATATGTTTGTGTACATTTGCAAGATCTGGTTATATATTCAAGCAACTTTAATCGCTTTGGCTAGACAAACACTAGAGATATTTTTCCCAGTTTGTCTTTTCATTTTGTTTGGATTTATTGATGTACCAAGACTTTTTCTTCTTTTTAATTATTTTTTAAAAGATAAAGGGTTTTGGTATGTTGCTCAGGCTGGTCTCAAACTCCTGTGCTCAAGTAATCCTTCCTGTCTTGGCCTCCCGAAGTGCTGGGATTATAGGTGGGAATATTAAAGCTTTTAATGTATTCAGATTTATCAATCTTCTCCTTTGGTAGGAAAAGCAGAGCGGAAACCACGGTTTCTTTTTTTTTGAGACAGAGTTTTGCTCTTGTTGCCTGGGCTGGAGTGCAATGGCATGACCTTGGCTCAGGGCAACCTCTGCCTCCCAGATTCAAGTGATGCTTCTGCCTCAGCTTCCAGAAGAGCTGAGATTACAGGTGTATGCCACCATGCCTGGCTAATTTTTTATATTTTTAGTAGAGACAGGTTTTCACCATGTTGGCAAGGCTGGTCTCGAACTCCTGACCTCAGGTGATCCACCCACCTCGGCCTCCCAAAGTGCTAAGATTACAGGCGTGAGCAACTATGTCTGGCCTGAAACCAGGACTTCTTAAGGAGAAACAACAGTCCTTCGTTTTTCAAAGCTGTTTTCTGTACTGTATCTATCTATTTAAATTGAAAACATAGTAAGAATCAAGACTACTGTTTCTAAAAGAAAGGAGATTAACTCAGACTATAAAAACATGTAAGGATTATAAAATGCCTTTTATTTTAATATTAGTTTGGTATTACTTTGTTAAGAATGTTTCTAATAAAATCATAAGATAACTTTATGTCCTATTGAGAATTTCATTAAAGAATGAAAATATAAAAGCTAATATACATGCATCCTTGCAAATTTGGAACATGTAAAATTAATAAGAGGAACACTTGAAGATGATCTAGAAAATTCTGAGATTTCCAGAGAACCAGGCCTGGCAATATTATCACAGATGAGTGGCATCCCGTAAAGGAAGTGTAGACGAACAAACAAACTTAATCTAAGAAAGACAATACTTACTATTCCAGAACTAAGATCATTTCTGACGGAGTCTCATAAACTTCATGTAAATTAATGACCCAAGGATTGTCCTGTGCTAGTTCAAGTACAGCAATCTCATGAATTATTTCCATCCGACAATCTTGGCCTTTTCTTCTTTTTCTCATGAACTTTGCAGCAAATTCTTTCCCCGAATCTTTCTTTATACATTTTCTCACCACTGCAAATTTCCCCCTAGAATTAAAAACATTCACTGTTAAAGTTGACAACTTTCCAGAGATGGCAGATTTAAATTTCCAAATATCCATTGGTGGGTATTTAAATTTAGCTCATATACAATCACAAAAGTAGAAATATCACTTAGAAATTTATATAGGCGACATCTCTAGATTTGTAGATTTATCAAATAAAACAAAATGTGTAAATTTGCAAAATTCACTTTCTAAATAAAAACAAATATTAAAGTCCATATTTTTTGCAGTTACACATAACTTAATTTTTTGCACATTTATACATAAAATGACTTAAGTCTTTAAAAAAGCCATTTGAGCCCAGACACAGTGGGTCACCTTTGTAATCTTAGCACTTTGGGAGGCTGAGGCGGGTGGATCATGTTAGGTCAGTAGTTCTGGACCAACCTGGCCAACATGGTGAAACCCCGTCTCTACTAAAAATACAAAAATTAGCCAGGTGTGGTAGTGCGTGCCTGTAATCTCAGCCACTCAGGAGGCTGAGGCATGGGAATCACTTAAACCTGGGAGGTGGAGGTTGCAGTGAGCTGAGATCATGCCACTGCACTTCTGCCTGGGGGACAGAGAGAGACTGTCTCCAAGAAAAAAAAAAAAAAAAGAACAAAAGCCATTTGATCTTTTAACAGAAACTGGTCACCAGAATCCCTAATATGATGAATTTCACTGCTGCTAATTGACTCTAAAGAGCACTATCACTTTCTAAATGTAAGGATCTCACTCATCTATCATTTTAACTACAGCATCAGCTAGAAATGTTGCATTTTCCCATAAAGACAGATACAGCAAAGCGTTATCTTGATACATCACTATTTGTCATAAAACTAATAAGCAGGTAAACTGGGGACTCAATATGGCATACTGATTAAAGGTATGAGCTCTGGAAGTAGACCTATGTGGAGGCATACTGATTAAAGGTATGAGCTCTGGAAGTAGACCTATGTGGACTTGAACCCTGCAAAAGGCACCTGATAATAACCTTAGGTGGTTTATTTAACCTCTTTTAGTTTCATTTTTCTTTTTCCTTTCTTTCTTCTTTTTTTTTTTTTTTAAGAGACTGGGTCTATGTTGCTCAGGCTAGTATTGAACTCCTTGCCTCAGGTGATCCTGCCACCTCAGCCTCCTGAGTAGTTATGAGTAAAGGCATGAGCCTCCATGCCCTAAGTCTCATTTTTCTAATCAGTATAATAGAGATACAAATGGCATCTACTTCCCAAGGTTGTGAGAATTAAAGCATATAATAGATTTCAATTGCTTAGCATGGTACTTGCCACATAGTAAGTGCTCAATAAAATATTACTAGTCACAGAAACATCCTTCAGGTCTGATAGCCATCACCCATAAATATCCACTGAATCCTTAGGTTGAAAGGCAACTTAGAAATCATATAGTATTTTACCTAATGCCAAATCCCAATGTCTTATTTCAAACTGTGAGGTAATCTTTTCTACTACGGGGTACATATTTTAATAAGGTTATCATTACAAGCCTAAACCTGACTTCAGCTGAAGGGATAAGTTAGGGTCCTCTGCTGAGCAGTACAGACTAGACCTCACTCTCTTTTCCATATGGTAGCCTATCAGATAGTGAACACAGCAAACACCATTTGTTAGCTGCCACTCTCTCTTCCCTTTCCCAGTATGCAGTCAATCCTCATCCCCGTAGGTTTTTTTTTTTTTTTTTTTTCTTCAAGAGATGGGGTCTCACTCTGTTGCCCACGCTGGAGTGCAGTGGCACCATCATGGCTCACTGCAGCCTTGGACTTCTGGGCTCAAGTAATCCTCCCACCTTAGCCTCCTGTGTTGCTGGGATCACAGGCACATGTCACCACGCCCAGCTCCCCATAAGGTTTTTCTGACCCCTTACTATGGCTCATCAGAAAATGTGCCAACCAAATCTGAAGCAACTATTCCAGGTATAATTGATCAAAGCATTGCATCATTATTACTTTTGTTGCTTTTGGAACAATACAACTTAAGATTGCTTGTTAAAAATACTTGACATGTTTTTCATATTTAACATTGGTTTGATAAACTACCAAGATTTTTTCTCCCTTGAATTTTTGTCAAATCAGTATCCTTATACTATATTTTTAAAATATTTCTAAAAAATTTGGAATAATCAACAGCATGAACAGACAACCTACAGAATGGGGAAAAAATATTTGCAAAGTATGCCTCCAACAAAGGGTGATATCTAGAATCTACAAGGAACTCAAAGTGGGCAAAGGACATGGACAGACATTTTTTCAAAAGATGACACACAAACAGCAAACATATGAAAAAAAATTTCAACATCACTAATCATCAGAGAAATGCAAATTAAAACCAAAATGAGGTACTGTCTTATACCAGTTCGAATGGCTATTGGTAAAAAGTCAAAAAAACAACAAATGTTGGTGAACACACAGAGAAAAAGGAACACTTATACACTGTTGGTAGAAATGTAAATTTGTTTAGCCACCATGGAAAGCAGTTTGGAGATTTCTCACAGAACTACTGTTTAACTCAACTATCCCATTACTGGGTATCTGCACAAAGGAAAAATTATTATATGAAAAAGACACCTGTACCCATATGTTTATTATTGCAGCTCTATTCGCAACAGCAAAGATATGGAATCAACCTAAGTGTCCATCAATGGATGACTGACCTAGAAATATGGTGTGTATATATATCATGGACTACTACACAGCCATAAAAATAAAAGAATGTCTTCTGCAGTAACAAGGATGGAACTGGATGCCATCCTAAGTGAGATGACTTAAGCAGGGAGTAAAAAACTGCCTGTTTTTACTTTTAAGTGGGAACTAAATGGATACACAGGCGTACAGTGGAAAAACAGACCAAAAGGTAAAAGAGTGGCAAGGGGGTGAGGAATGAAATACTATCTATTGGGTACAATGTACACTATTTAGGTGATGGGTACACTAAAAGCCCAGACTTCACCATGACGCAACATATCCATGTGACACAAATGCACTGGTATTCCTAAATCTATTTTTTTTTAAAAAAGCTTTCTAAAAAATTAAATGCAAGGCTTTAATTACCCTGTTAAATTCTCTTTTGTTGTTTTTGAGACACAGTCTCACTCTATCACCCAGGCTGGAGTGCAGTGGCGTGATCTCGGCTCACTGCAACCTCTGCCTGCTGGGTTCAAACAATTCTCACTTCCCTTTCCCAGTATGCAGTCAATCCTCATCCCCATAGGTTTTTTTTTTTTTTTCTTTAAGAGATGGAGTCTCACTCTGTTGCCCAGGCTGGAGTGCAGTGGCACAATCATGGCTCAATGCAGCCTTGGACTTCGGGGCTCAAGTAATCCTCCCACCTTAGACTCCTGTGTAGCTGGAATTACAAGCACATGCCACCATGCCTGGCTAGTTTAAAAAAAAAATTTTTTTTAAGTAAAGACGGGGTTTCGTCATGTTGGCCAGACTGGTCTCAAACACCTGGCCTCAAGTGATCTGTCCACCCCGGCCTCCCAAAGTGCTGGGATTATAGGCGTGAGCCACCACGCCTAGCCTGCCCCGTTAAATTCTAACTTCTAGGCTTTGATCTGGCATTCTAGACCTTGCTGACCTAATTTTGAGTAGTAATTCTTCCTTGCCAGCTACTGTTAACTGCAAATATGATTTTCATGTCTTCCATGTTTTTACTATCATTAGTAATACAAATGTGGGATGACAAATCCTTAGGCATAGCCCTATGGCTGTTCAATTTGGTAACAACCTACCTAACAGCACCCTTATTCAGATCAAAGTTCTTTTATTCACAGAAATATGAAAGACTTCTACAGATATGGGAGAGAGTAACTATAAATGAATTCCTCAAAGACTAATACCTTTAATTTTATCCCACAAAATCATTAGGCCAACATCCTCATCAAGCTTTAAAAGGTTCCCAATGATCTCTGGAAAGAAAACAATTATTAATAATTTGATGTTTTCATGCCTACATGTCTGGAAGTTTCAAGAGAAGAGAAAGTTTAATTTGTGAAAAATTCGTCTGAAATGAAGCCTCAACATATAATTGGCAGCAAGCATGTTTCTGGTAAATTACAAATGACTCACTAGAATGGCCCTCAAACACCTATCACACATACAGAAATGTTTATTGCTGCCACACCTGACATTCAAAGCAATAAAGTACTATGCAGTAAGTAAAAAACTACGTATTACGTAGCCTGAAAGTATATTTTTAAAGACCACATAGGAAGACAGCTAATTCAGCAAACAGAATTGGAACTCAAAATTACATCAGTAGTCTAAAATGCTAGATCAAAACGTAGAAGTTAGAATTTAACAGGGCAAATTAAACATGGACTCACACACATTGCTGACCTGTGAACTCTGAGACCCTGTTACAGAACAGCCGTTGCTAAATTCTGGGGCCTCTTCCCTATACTGATCATCTGCTGCTCACACTCCTCGCCCATTCCTTTAGGACCCAGAATGTAGTTCTCACGGCTCTCCTTTCATACCAATGACTACTCTGACACCCCTTTTTTTTTTCTGGAAACATTCCTCACAGTTCTAGGTTTATTCTTTTCTTTCCACCATATTATGTACTATACTGGGGGGTCAGCAAACTTTTCTGTAAAGGGAAAGCAAGATAGTAAATATTTTTGGCTTTGCGGATAAGAGGGTCTCTACAGCAACGACTCAAGTCCACTGTTGTAGAATGAAAGCAGCCATACAAGAAAGGTAAATGAATGGGTATGTTTGGCTTCCAATGAAACTTTATGGATGCTGAAATGTGAATTTCTTAAGATTTTCATGTTATTAAATATTACTTATTCTCATTTTTTCAACTATTAAAAAATGTAAAACATAAAAACAGCTTGCGAGACTTACAAAAATAGGTGGCTGGCTGTAGTTTGCTAACCCCTGCTATATCCCATGCTGAATAAAACTCTTCCATCATTTTAATACCACATACCACTGAAACTGACATGACAGCATGCCTTCATCTCTAAATGACTGGTGCAATGGGAGGAGGACTCTTCAAACCACTCAAGGAGTGAGTCAGAGGAGATAATAACAGATTTCTGGGAATTGTTCTATACAGCTACACTGTATAAAGAAACATGAAATTCAGCATTCAAGCTGTGAAGTCCCAGTGTATAGGCTCAGAATTATATTGAGAGTTCCCTAAATTCCATACCCCAAAAGGGCTCCAACATGCATATATTACCAGGACTTTATGGTAAAATTTGTGACAGTACCTCAACCTTTAACTTTAGGTTACTGAATCCTCTACAAAACATTTTAAAAATGATGTTTCTCAGCCGGGCGCAGTGCCTCACACCTGTAATCCCAGCACTTTGGGAGGCTGAGACGGGTGGATCACAAGGTCAGGAGTTCAAGACCAGTCTGACTAACATGGTGAAAACCCATCTCTACTAAAAATACAAAAATTAGCTGGGCGTGGTGGTGCACGCCTGTAATCCCAGCTACTCAGGAGGCTGAGGCAGGAGAATTGCCTGAACCTGGGAGACGGAGGTTGCAGTGAGTCAGGACTGTGCCACTGCACTCCAGCCTGGGTGACAGGGTGGGTGAGACTTCCTCTCCAGAAAAAAAAAAAAAAAATGATGTTTTTCTGACACTAGGGGCCACAGTTACATGCAGCTGACTTGGGGCTGATGAGGTCCAAAGGGCATAAGATGTTTGTGGCATATCTACTTTTTTTTTGTTGTTGACTCAAAAGCCAAACTTCTTCCTGGAATACACAGTTGCCATACTTTTCAGGGTTTTTTCATTTCAAAAACATCTGTATTTCACTAATACGTACAAAACTGAGAACTTAGGTTTTCATTAAATATTTTGGGATGAATATCAGAAACGAACACATTTCAGAACTACTGACTGAAAACATATTCCAGAGAGGTGGGAAAGGCAAGACACACAAACAATAACAAGAGGAGGTGACATTTCAGTGAGACCCACCAGTCCAAGCTCTCTAAGAACTCTGCATTAACAGTGCCTAAAAACAGTGCTTAGGAAGACAGGGTGAATATCTTTAGGTAGGTATGTTTGCTAAGGAGTTTGGGCTTCATCAGGCTTTACACTGGAACCTATTAGAATTCTGAAAATAATTGTTCAAAAAAGATAATTCTGGCTGGGCACAGCAGCTCATGCCTGTAATACCAGCACTTTGGGAGACTGAGGTAGGCGGATTGCTTAAGCCCGAGAGATCGAGACCAGCCTGGGCAACATGGTGAAACCCTGTCTCTACAAAAACTACAAAAATTAGATGGACATGGTTGTGCACACCAGTAGTCTGGGCACTTGGGAGGCTGGGATGGGAGGATCACTTGAGCCTGGGACATCTAGGCTGCTGAGATCATGTAAGTGCGCTCCAGCCTGGGCAACAGGATGAGACCCTAAAAAATCAAAGAGATCATTCTAATAGTGTTGTGAAGAGTGGATTGCCAAGTGATAACTAGGAACAGAGAGGCCAATAAAATAATTTAAAGCAGTAGGCCTGAACTCCAGTGGCAGCAGTAGAGACTGGGAAAAAAGAATACATTTAAAAACCAATCAAAGTCAACATTTATTGGCACTCACTGAAAGATTTGAGTTGCCGGCAGAGATGAGAGGAGGGAAAGGTGAAAGTTCAGGATGACTTTTAGATTTTTAATCTAGGTACTGTGTAAATGTGGTACCAGTTATAGTGCCACTGAGATAAAGATGATGAAAAGAGTAAGAGATTTCTTGGGAAAGATCATATGCTAGGTTTTGGACAGAAGTTTGAGCTGCATTTCTTGGTAAAGAGAATCCTATTTATTGAAGGGATTCCAAACATAAATTCAAGTGTTGGATTATAGGCAAAGGTGAAGAGATAATACAATATGTAAGGTTTAGGTAAACATCAGAAAACGTAGATGTTAATTTGAGCAGTTCACGGGGGAAGTAAAATAATGTCCAAGGATCTGTTTTATTCTAGACTAAAGTGCTTTGTTTATACCTTTATAATATTTATGTCAATCTTACATATTAAAACTTGTATTATGTCTCCCAGCTGAACTGTTTCAGAGACCTCACTTATTATTCATCTTTTTATCTCCATAGTGCGCTGCACATGGCAAGTATGCAAATATAATCAGCACATCTAGTATATATACTGCTCTTATTATTTTGTTAAATAAGTTTTATGGCAACTTAACCTCATAACATTTAATATACTGGACTCCTTGCCATTTTCTCTTTACTGAATTTTTCTACAGCTGTGACTTAATGTTTTACTGACAACAGCAACTACTATTGAAATTCCATCCATTCTTTACAGCCCAACTGAAATGTTATTTCCCACCATAAGACCTTCCAGTGGTATATCATCTTGCCTATAAAGGGGACGGTGGTCGATCTGCTACATTTTGGAATAGCTTCCAGAGCCTAGGGTAGTGTCTTTAAGTACTTAATATGTAATTTTTTGTTTTTGAGACTGAGTTTTGCTCTTGTTGCCCAGGCTGGAGTGCAATGACGTGATCTCGGCTCACTGCAACCTGTGCCTCCCGAGTTCAAGCTATTCTCCTGCCTCAGCCTCCTAAGTAGCTGGGATTACAGATGTCTACCACCACGCCTGGCTAATTTTTCTGTATTTATAGTAGAAATGGGGTGTCTCCATGTTGGTCACGCAGAAGACACGGGTTTCTCCATATTGGTCAGGCTGGTCTTGAACTCTTGACCTCAGGTGATCCACCCACCTTGGCCTCTCAAAATGCTGGGATTACAGGTGTGAGCCACCGTGCCCAGCCCGTCCCACTTTTTTTTTTTTTTTTTTGAGACAGAGTCCCGCTCTGTCACCCTGGCTGGAGTACAGTGATACTATCTGTACTCACTGCAACCTCCACCTCCCAATCAAGCAATTCTCCTGCCTCAGCCTCCTGAGTAGCTGGTACTACAGGTACATGCCTGGCTAATTTTTGTATTTTTGGTAGAAATGAGGTTTCATCATGTTGTCCAGGCTGCTTTCAAGTGATCCACCCACCTCGGCCTCCCAAAGTGCAGGGATTACAGGCATGAGCCACCATGCCCAGCCAGAGATAATGTCTTAAAGATAAAGAAGTTCCATTCAATAAAAACCTAGAATAGATTTTGTCTTCCTTATCGTTGAAATGATCAAGGAAAAGACCCTAGGTGTAAAAATTAGTGAGTCCATTCAAATAAGACATTAGCATGCGTGATAAGAAAAGGCAAGGCTTTACAAGTCAAACTTGGTTTTAAATTCTGGCTTATAACTGTGTAATCTTGAGCAATTTATTAATCCTTTGGATCCTGGGATTCCTCATCTGTAAAATGAGATCAATGGCACTTTATCTTACAGGGCAGTGAAGACTATACAGAATTACATCTTTACAGTGTAGCATTCGGAAAATGATCAATAATCAGTAGCTATTTTTACTACTAACATTAGTTTCAGATCTATCATATAACCAATGATAATTTTTACAAAAAAAACATAGGCATTCTGGGAGGTGAGCTATTTAGTCTACATGATGTCTAAATTCTCTCAAGAAATCTAGTTCTTATTTACCTGAAGAGGTGAATCAAATGACTATAGCTACTTAGCTTTCTTATGCATTTGGTTCAACAATCAGATTGTATAAAATTGTGTCATCTATAGTTTTATCAAGAGACTGAAATTCAAATCCTTGAATTCACGTATCTTAAATTAAGATTTTAACATTTTAAGCATGAACTTTTCAAAATTAAACAGCTGACTGACTTAAAGTACCTGCCTGAGAGCAGATGCCATACTTTCCAAGTAACTTTATCACTGAATCACAAATATGGCCAATTTTCTTTTATCCATTCAAAGTATCAGATTACCCAAAACTGTTTGCAAATTAAATTCTTCAAACTAATGACTAGCTGTCTAGAAATTTTATATAACATCTGTGTTAAGACAAGGCAATTTCTGCATGGATGTTACTTGATAAAAAGCTCGTTATTTTTTTGTTGTTTTTATTTTTATTTACTTTTTAAAGGTCGTTACTTCTTAAAAAATAATTTAGGACACACACTTCAGTTGTTGTCAGATACAAAAACTGATGCTATTACCTACAGCCATCAATCTAGGTAAGGGCATACAGTTCCCAAAATACCCACCCAGAGTCTCCTTTTAGTTTGAATATTCTTGTATTCTCTGATAAAAACCCTTTTTTGTCCCTGTTATCCCTGACTGCTCTGAGGAGAATGTGATAGGACATCCTTAATTTACTTTAAGGCCCAAGTGGGGACTTAACTATAGTTGACACTGAAGCTTGATCGTGTTTGTTCCAATGTGGAACCCATTCACATATCCTCTCATAAAAATGTCAGGAAATTGCTTTAGTCATAAGATATAGACTACAGATTATTCTTTGAAAAACATGTGTGGTGTAATGGGAATGATTTCAAAGTCAGGAGTCCTAGCTCTGCTATCTTTCACAAGACTTAATCTGTGTCTTTGTTTTCTCATCTGAAAAATGGGGCTTTCCAAACAGGCCTGTGGTGAGAATCAATGAGATAACGCATGTGAAGGCACTTGTAAAACTGTAAAGCCTGCACATTTACAAAGTACCTGCTTTAGATGGGAACTTGTATTTGTAACTTTTTTCCTTAGGAAAATCCAACTATTAGCATGTACTAATATTTTTAAAGTGCTTTTTTGGCTTAAAGTATTTTTTTCTTAAGAAAAAATGTATGAGTATATTAAAAACATTAAAGTTGAGAACTAGATAACAAAAACAAATGTAAGGCAAATCATTTGATATGAAATTGGTGTATCTTTAAGTTCCTAGAAAAATCTTTGCTCCTATATTATCAATACTCAAGGAAAATCAACATGAAAAAAATTCTCAGAACCCAAGGTCATTTCTCTTGTGTGCCTCTATAATGAAATCATTAACGTAGTTTACACTGGCATACAGCCAGACTCAAGGTAACAAGCCTCAGGAATAACCAGTCAAGCTTCAAGCAATAAAATAATGTTTTACATCATATATTTACCCGTATTTACGTTGCTATGGACTCTGCTGGAAACATGAAAGAATGTGACATTTCGTAAAATGATCAACATCACATCCTGTTATTACTCTGAAATCAATGTTGACCATTTAAAAAATTCTCTTAACAGTCATCTCATTGAAAGTTTTAGCTCTGTAATAACATAGCAGCACCTGAAAGAGATCGATTTGATTGAACATAACTCTTCACACCCCTTCTGCATTTTGCTAAATGAAAGGCCAAAGAATAAAAATAAAAAATCTGTTTTTCTTCCTACATCATTAAAATATAACACGGGTATTTTGCAAGTTCTTTATCAGCATGAGATTAATTAGAGTTATATCAGAAATGCAACCAGAGTTAAGAGTTGGAAAAGTAAGTTTTCTATCTTATCAGAGGAAACATCAAGAAACACACTTAACTATGTTAAAACCATAAAATACAGGCAAAATTTATAAACCTTAAACAAGGACTGCTTATAGCACAGACAGAACTTTTACTTTCAGAGATGTCTAGACAGTTCCTGTGACTTTGTTACATTGTGCAGGTTTTCTTTTTTGGTTACATTTAAAATAACATTTATTGAATTACACCATGAATTACATTTATTGAGCGCTTCCCCTAAGCTAAACACAGCCTTAAGGCTATGTTTTACTTAACTCTCTCACCAACCCTATGAGGCAATAAATGGTTAGGCAATGCACTCAAGTCCACATAACTAGTAAGAGCCAAGATTCAATCTCACATTATCTGACTCCAAAGCCATTGTTCTTAAGCATTGCATTAAACTCCTTTATAAAAGGGTGCCACAAGGAAAAGAATAGATTTAATTCTGTTTTTCAGTTCCAGGCTTTTATATCAAGTATTTATCTAATAACTGCATTGTTATGCTGCTTTAGGACCTATTCCTTTTGTAAAGAAATTTACATAAGAAAAGGTATGTAGAAGATATCACAACCTTAAAACAAACAAAACAACACCTGATCGGGAAGCTAATTTTATAATGGAGTTTAAAACAAAAGTTGAAAGAAACATTCCTGAAGGAATTGGTACCGTAACACCTGGTGGGGTGCAAATCGGTTTCCCAGACTATAAAACCTCCAAGACAGAGCTTCCCACCTGAAGACATTTCGCTTTGTAAAATACTTGCACCAGTTTTCCTTGTGGAATGAAGCCAGACAACCAAATAATGGAAAAACGTAGTTTTCCTTTTTTTTTTTTTGAGACGATTCTCGCTTTGTGGTCCAGGCTGAAATGCAATGGCACTATCTCCGCCCACTGCAACCTCCTCCTCCTGGGTTCATGTGATTCTCTTACCTCAGCCTCCCAAGTAGCTGGGATTACAGGCATCCACCACCACCCCCACCTAATTTTTGTATTTTCAGTAGAGACGGGGGGTTTCACCACGTTGGCCAGGCTGGTCTCGAACTCCTGACCTCAGGTAATCTACTGGCTTTGGCCTCCCAAAGTGCTGGGATTACAGGTGCGAGCCCTGGTGCCCCCTCAGTTTTCCTTTTTTCAAGTAGTACGGGTTACTTCAGAATGTTTGGAATGTCTACAAATCAGAATATCCAGCTAAGCCACAGCTCCCTTCACCTTTTCACCCTAGCAGTGAAGTAATCTTGTTCCTGAAAGGTGTTTTCTTTTTTGTTAACGTTTAGGAATAAGTAAGACTTTGTCAAGGTAGCATTCCACATCTCCACCCGCCAAAAAAACTATTTCCATAAGTTACCTTAGTATGTGTAAGGTTGGGTGTTTTTAACATTATAAGTCATCTCACATTGTTTGCCTTTCCAAGACCCCAGCTGAAGGCTGTTTCGACTGTCAGGCCCTTTCCCATTACAACATGGTGCTATTTTGCAACCATGACAAATGTTGGCAATAATGCCAACATTTACTGAACGCCATGTGGCAAGCCCAGTGGTATGCACTTGACAGGCATGGCATCTTCAGGACATCTCTGAGGTAGACACCGTCATCATTATCCGGATTTTACGGATGAGGAAAGTAAGGCTGGGGAGTCTAAGTAACCCCTCCAAAGGCAAACACAGGAAGCAGGGCATGAATATGAACTCAATCTACCCCAGGGCCAGAGTTTTAACAACTTCCCCAAACTGTCCTCAAGGAAGAGTCCCCAAACCCCACAGAAATCACTATCACCCCCTTCAGCATACAAAATGTAAAGCATCCGAACAGCCTGCACCTGCAACTTTGGAGACCAAGTTGTAAGCTTCCCCTGCCCCCACAAAAAAGGGTGGGGTGGGGTGGGGTGGGAGAAGGCAAGAATCAGCTCCCAGAAAAGTAAAAAGAGCGAGACAAGGACCAAGCGCCTACGAAAGACACCAATCTAAATTCGAGGCTAAAGGACCTAAATATTTAAAAACTAAAACGGCACAAAACCAAACCAACCATGAAAACGAAAATGAAGTCAGCAGAAGACCGACACAAGGTAACAGAGCCCCGGTGCAAAGGAAGTTGTCACAACGGATGCTGTGTTTTATTAAAACCACACAGGGAGACCAAGAAAGTCGTCAGAGTTGAAGGCCCAAAGCAAAGCCGGCTCCACAGACCTCTGGTTTTCAGACCCGCCGCTCGCGGGGAGCGGCAGACGCGGCCAGCACCTTCTCTCGTTAAACTGCCGTTCGAAACGCCGCAGAGAACGAAAGGGCTGAGAGAAGAAGGTGTCCGCGCCCCCGGGACGGCCATCCAGTTACCATCACTCGCTCCCGGGGCGCGGCGCGTGGAGGGGGCGCTGGTGCAGCTCAGGCTGCCCTACTCGCCGCCAGCACCCAAGTTTGTGCCAAGTCACCACGCGCGTTATCGGCAGCAGCAACGCCACCTCGGCCTCCCCGCCGGGCCCCGGCACTTATCCGCGCCCGCGTCCTGCCCAGCGCGTCCGGGAAGGTTCCGCGCCGGGCCCCGCCCGTCCTCACCTGCCCAGCTCCCGGCCCGGGCACAGGCTGTAGACGTCCTGGAAGGGCTCGGTGCGCACCGCGGCGCGGATCTCCGTCAGCAGCCCGCGGGCCTGGGTCGGCGGCGGCGGCGGCCGGCGAGGCCCACTCGGACCCCGGCCGGCCCGGCCCGAGCCTGAGGTGGCGCCCGGGGAGGAGCCGCCGCTGTCCGGCTTCTCTAGAGGAATCATGGTGTTCGGGCGTGCTTCCTTCCTGGCCACCAGTTCGCTCCGAACAGCCCGAGGGGCACGGACCCGCCTGCGGCTTCTAGAGCCTGCCCGAGAAGCCCCCAAACACCCGCTCTCCCCGGGGCGGCGCTCGGACTGCGGCGGGCCGACTACCGGCAGCCCGGCCCCGCCCCTTGCCCCACGCCCAGCCCCCTCCTCGTAACCGCCGCGCCTGACCTGCGCCTCGCTTCGGCCCTGGCCGGCCCCGCCCCACGCCTGGCCACGCCCCGGTCCAGCCTCACTTCGTGGCCGCCCCGCCCCCTCGCTGAGCTCCCGTAGGCTCCTCACGTGCGCCCTCTGCAGCTCATGAGAAGAAAGTGCTGCCTGCGGAACGGCCCGGAGGCTGGAGGTGACGCACAGCACCACCCTTTGGCCAGGACTGCCTTCTGCGTTAGCAGAGTTGCGCACCTGTTGAGCATCTGAGAGTCCCAAAAGCTGCCCTTCGGTTAATAAAAGCTATTTGAGCTGTAAGCGGGACTTCACGTGGTGGGGAGGGGTGATGAGACCCTAATCTCCTTACACTGGGAGAGGGGTCTGAAGGAAGGAGTTGTATAAATATTATTAACCCTGCACACCAGCCCTATGAAATAGGCACTATTATGTTGTCTGTAGTTGTTTCTATATTTACTTTCGAGGTCCTCTTATCCAGTTTTACGACTTTAATTACCATCTGCATGCTCATGACTACAGAATTTGTTTCTCTAGCGTCCAACTATTCCCTGAACTTCAGACTAGTGTATTCGACTATGCACTGGGCATCTCCACCTAGATGTCAAATTAGCATCTCAGACTTAACATACACAAAAGTAAGTTCCTGATTGGCCTTCATGAATGCATTCCTACCCAGCTTTCCCCGTCTCAGTTTTCTTCATCTTCTTCCTTCTAGTTATTCAGGCCAAAAATCTTGGGATGAGCATTGACTACTCTTCAAACTAGATGTGGCATTTGATCACCTCTGTTTCCACCTTACCACCAAGGCCTGAGCCACCATTATCTCTTATCTGGATTATTGTGATAGATTACTAACTGGACCACCTGCTTCCATCCTTCTTCCTCCCTAATGCCGCATAGTTTATTTTCAAGGCAACGAGAGCGATGTTTTAAAAATCAAAACCAAATCATGTCACTGCTCTGCTCAAACTGTCTCAATAGAGTTTTGCTTCCGGCACTGATATACTAGTTTATTTGTGATCAACAGTCTCACTAAGAAAAATTAGAGAAGTTGGCAAAAGTTAAGAAATTCCTCTCCCAGCAAGGAGTTGGATGACTGAAATCCTGGAAAGATAGGCAGCTCTGAAAGCCACCACTTTTCCCATGAAGTATTTGATGATTTTAAAGCAATGGCTGAAAGAGTGAGGAAGTAAGCAGAGCTTTCAGCCATCTCATGGGGTTGGGAAGACAAAAAACTGGACTTTAGGACCTATTTAGGATGAGGAGCTGGTAAGCAACTAGGCTTTCAGCTGGGACTCTGAAGGGCCATACCCTAGGGGCATGGATCAAAGGGAAGGAGACCCTCGGGCTGAAGACCAGCTTCAAAGGCAACGGTAAATACTCTGTCTGGGGAAAAAGAGCATCATGCAAAGCCACACATTATCCATATAATATTTTACACACCATGTCTGAAACATAATTTAAACAAAGGACACAGAATTGTCTTAAAAATGAAGGAAAAAAGAAAACAGAAATAAACAGAAGGTCCAGATACTAAAGTTTAAACACAGATTCTAAAATAATTCTGTTTACTATCTTCAAGAAATTCAATGACAAGATGAAGAGTTTTCAGCAGAGAACTGGAAACTCCAAAGAAGAATACAATGGAATTTTGGAATTGGAGGAAAAAAAACACTAACTAAAACTACCACAGAATTATGGGTTTAATAACAGATGAGATACAACTTAGCAAGAATTAGTAAACCTGATGAGCAAAACAAAATATGCAAAATGAAATACAAGAGATAAAAGAGCTTTATATAAAAGATACAAGGTTTTAGAAAGGAGACTATAACACATGCGACATAATAAAACATTCTATCACGTGTGTAATTGGAATATCAGGAAGAGAAGTAAGAGAAAAAAGGAAAAGAAGCAATATTTGAAAAGATAGTGGCTGGAAATTTTTTTAAACTAATAAACAACAACTCTCAGAGTCAAGAAACATGAACATAGAGCAGGATTTCAAGCAAAGAATATCATATGTAGGCAGGCTGTAAACTACCGAGAAACAAAGACAAAAAGAAAATGTTTAAAATCAGCAAAAAAACCCCAGATATATAATCTGCAAATGAGCAACAATAAAATCAAGAGCTTATTCTCAAAGAACCAATGGAAGCCTAAACACCTTGAAATGTCTTCAAAGCACTAGGAGAAATTACCTGTCAACCTGTATTATATACCCAGTAAAAATACTCTTCAAAATGGAAAATAAAATACCAACAATTTTATAACCAAGAAACACTATCAGCTCATCTACCGTAAAGGAAATTCCAAAAGGAGTTTTTCAGGCAGATGGATAATAATACCAAAAGGAATGAAGAGCAATCAAAGGGTTAATACATGGATAGATGTAAATAAACACAAATTGTATAAAACAATGAAAACAAGGCCATGTGAGGTTTAAATATATGTAGAATTAAAATATACACAATAATAGCACAAAAAGTGAGATGTGAAAATGTTAAAATGATTGGAGAGTTCATCATGAAAAATATCCAAATGAGTGTAGCTAGAATGTTTTTTGGAAAAGAAAGTTGTAAGGAGAGAATTGTCCTAACATATTAAAATATAGTATGAAATAAGATAACTCAGCATAACAGTTTTGAAATAGAGTTGTAATATTTAAGAAACCACAATAAGCTCCAAAACTTCTAAATCATTAAATGTTAAAAAAAAAAGAAAGAAAAAAAGACTACCAAATCTAGAAAGAAATAACATATAACAATTAGCTGACTCTTTTTTTTTTTTTTTTTTGAGACAGTGAGCCCAGGTGCCATCTCGGCTCACTGCAACCTCTACCTCCTGGATTGAAGGGATTCTCCTGCCTCAATTTCCTGAATAGCTGGGATTACAGGCATGTGCCACCATGCTTGGCTAATTTTGGTATTTTTAGTAGACACAGGGTTTTTGTCGTGTTGGTCAGGCTGGTCTTGAACTCCTGGCCTCAAGTGCTCCAGCCTCCTTGGCCTCCCAAAGTGCTGGAATTACAGGTGTTAGCCATTGCGCCCGCCCTTGACAATTAGCTGATTTCTGAAGGAAGAAGTAACTTCTAAGAAATAAAGCAGTGGAAAAAAAACTTCAAGAAAAATATTTGACTACCTAATAATTTTAAAAGTGTCGCATATCAAAAACTGTTATATGCAAAATTAGAAGGCAAAAAAACTGGGAATATATTTGCAAAAAGGATTATAGACAAAAATTATACCCTAAATGAAGAACACATAAGAGGTGTGTCAACTGTGTTAGAAAGAGGTCAAAGAAAATAAAATATTTTTTTATAATGAAATGTTCAAATTTAATTTGTATTTCCTTCAGAAATATAAATGGGGTTTCATTTCTCCCAGTAAAATTGGCAAAGATTTTTAGGGTAATTCAATTCCCGTTGTTTGTGATAAGGGAGACAAAGATTGGAAAGACAAAATCGCAAGTGCTTTCTGTTTCCTTGTGTTGTTCTGATCTGTATTTTTCCATAGAAAGCACTATACCTGATTCTATCAGAGATTCTTACCTGGCTCACCGGTTTTATTTTATTTTTTGAAATGGAGTCTTGCTCTGTCATCCAGGCTGGAGCTCGATGTCAGCTCGTTGCAACCTCTGCTTCCAGGTTCAAACGATTCTCCTGGCTCAGCCTTCTGAGTAGCTGGGATTACAGGCACAGGCCACCACGTGTGGCTAATTTTTGTATTTTAGTAGAGACCGGGTTTTACCTTGTTAGCCAGGATGGTCTTGAACTCCTGACCTCGTGATCCGCCCACCTCGGCCTCCCAAAGTGCTGGGATTACAGGTGTGAGCCACTATGCCTGGCCCACCTGTTTTAATATCAACCTGAGTTTATCTTTATCAGGTTGCATTCTAAGTGTATACTTTCTTCCTAGTTAGATCAGAAGGGACCACTTATTCGATATCCTCAGTGTGTATAAGTAACGCTCTGTAAATATTGATGAATAAATGTGGTTGAATTGAATATGCAACACTCTACTGTCTAAGATGATGGTTAAATGAATTTTGATACATTTACCTGATAGGTTATTATCAATACTTTCAAAGGAATTTAAGAACACTGGACAACATTGGTAGTGCAATAACTACAAAAAAGAATGATTTGAAATCATTTTTACTGCACTTTGTTGAGTAATTTTCTTTTATTTTCTGTACTTTCCAAATTTCCTTATATATTATGTATTACTTTTATTATAGTATATATAAAAGTTTATGTATTATATATGATTATATGTTACTTTTATTGTATATTAAAAGTAATGGTTATATATTACCTTTATTGTAGAAGTAAAAAAAAAATTTTTTTAATAGTTTTTAAATATAAGTACTCCACAGTCCAGCCAGCCAGGCGTGGACTGTGGTTATTTTAAACACAACTCACACCTACCCAGCTACTCTCAATCCCTCCATTTATTGGTGGAGGCTTAGGTTATAGCCTCTTTTCCCCACATCAATTCAAGTTGAAAGTTTGCCTTATGTCCAAACCTCTGTTATTTTTAAATATCATAGTACTGTTCTGGGAAATTACGTGCAAGTTACAGATCTAAGACCTTCAAGGATAAATATGCCTTTGAGAATAGCAGTTCAGCTAAAAAACATTATTTCCTTTGACATCTGCTGTCAGAGAAATAAAGTTGATTAATACTTCTCATTCTCCTGCCAAAATTAGTATTTATGTCAAATGTAAGACTGGACTATAATCTTTCAGTAACGATTTTTCCGAATTTAGGTAAGAAAGAGGCCGCTTACTCTGGTCATCTCCTCTCTAATTTTCCTTGCCATTTGCTTATTTTATTTATTTATTTTTTTTTCCTCACCAGGCTGGAGTATAACCAGGCTGGAGTGCAGTAGCGCGATCTCAGCTCACTGCAACCTCTGCCTCCTGGGTTCAAGGGATTCTCTTGCCTCAGCCTCCGGAATAGCTGGGGTTACAGGTGTTCGCCACCACACCCAGCTATTTTTTTTTTCTTTCTTTCTATTTTTAGTAGAGACAGGG